TTGGTCGCTTTTAAAAGAACATGCGGGCTAACCCAGATTTCTCAGCTTTCCTGATATCTTGACCTGCAACAAAAGTGGGCATTGCCCAACCTGTAGGAAAAGGTTGTGCACTGGTGTGTATATTTGTTTGGTTATAGAGAAAACTCTCCTTGTCTTTTAAAGAAACTGAACAAGGGGCAAAAACTTTACCTCCGATTTTCTCAAAACAGCATTTTTCGGGATAGCCCCTTGTGCTTAAAAGCGACCAATTACACATGTATAAACTCTGCAAAATCGGGTAAGTGCACACCCCACAAAAAAGGCATTATTATAGTCAGACCTGGTAAGGACCAAAAGAAGAAAAGAAAAACAGCTGCTGAATGCAGGGGAAAATATATGGTCAGCCGATACATTTCCATTGGTGTAGGACTGATGAGATTTTCAAACGATATCGATTTCTTCTCTGCTGTGGGGACTAACATATTGACATACGAATGTAGATTCTCTTAATTAAACCACACTCATAGGGTTTGTACGTTTTTGCAACCGCACACACACACACACACACACACACACACACACACACACACACACACACACAGAGGCGTTGATAGCTTAGTGGTAAGGCTACGGATCCGTCATCGTGAGATTAAAACTATTATTATCCCAGCTCGTTCCCACGTTGTTGGATTTACTTGGATCCAGAGCTAGAATCATAGCAGGCGGCACATGTCCATAGCTGCTCATCTCTCCTTTCCAGCGTCCACATCAGCGTCTTCCTGTTAATTGTCTCCATGAGGAGCTGGTTTGAGACACGCCTGACCACTCCTCGGAGCAAACTTTTTTTCGCTGTGCCCCGCACACACTTTCCTTTTATTGTGCTGAGTGTGTGGGAGTCTGTCTCCTCTTGGTTGAGAAGGCTCTCCTTGCATCTGGCGATCACCATTGGTGGGTCGAGCATGATTCGGCCATTGGGTGTTGCTTTGCCGGCAAGTTCATCAGCACGCTCATTTCCGTGCACCCCGGCGTGACCAGGGCAGAACACCCATGTAATTCTTAGGAGGTGGCTATTTGCAATGGAAGCTCTCCAGTCACTGTAGAGCCACCCACTCCTGATTTTTTCTAGGGTGCTCATCGAGTCTGTGACAAACAGGGCATGTTTATACGCTTCCATGCTGATCCATTCCAGCGCCTCTGTTATTGCCTTGACCTCCATTGCCATGCTCGATGTAGTGCACTCGTAGGCTCCAGACTGTTCTTTAATTATATACCCGTCAACTCGAGCACTGAACGCCCATCCACAAGGTACGCAGTTGGAAAGGCAAGAGGAATTGAAGTACCTGGGCATTACCTTTGACCGCACCCTCTCGGCAAAAGACCATGTGACGAACATTATCACCAGAGCAAGGACAGGACTTGTTGCACTGAGAGTGATGGCTGCATCTATGTCCCACGTTGTGTCCTTGGGAAAGGCACTTTACACGAAATTTCAATTTCCTATTTGTCTCGGTCCTTCCGGAGATGATCTCGCCTCTTAAATAACCCAATACTATTGATAGGGGCGTTAAACCTCTACCATTTCACCATTTCATGTTCACACACACACACACACACACACACACACACACACACACACACACACACACACACACACACACACACACACACACACACACACACACACACACACATACACACACAGCGCGCGCGCGTAGTCTCCTACCAAGGACGATGCCCGAGACACTGAAAGTATCCCTAAAGTTATCAAATCCCTTGAGGACTACGCCGACCTGTCATCCGACTTCAGAGGTGTGCTTACACACCCACGTGCGTGCGCACACACACACACACACACACACACACACACACACACACACACACACACACACACACACACACACACATACACACACGCACGCACGCAAAGACATACACACACTGGCAAAGGCCGCCTTAACCCCTCCCGACACACACACACACTTACACAGAAACACACACACACACACAAATCCGCAACGAAACACATACACATCCGCGCTTACACGCGCGCACACACACACACACACACACACACACACACACACACACACACACACACACACACTCACTCTCATACTCACACACACACGCATACACACTCACACAGACATATGTTCACACGAACATATACACGCACTGGCAAACGTCGCCTTAACCCCTCCCGACCCACACACACTCATATATATATATATATATATATATATATATATATATATATATATATATATATATATATATATATATATATGCACACACACACACACGCACACACACACACACACACACGCACACACACACACACACACACGCACACACACACACGCACACACTCTATGTACACTGTATATATACTCTGTGGATATACTGAGCCCTTTTGGTTGTGTGGGAGACAAGGTCATGTTGTGTTTACCTTCTGCACTTCTTCGGCTCAGCTTTCTGCATGGGCAATCCCAAGACTGTGTGGCACTGGAGAATCTTGTTGTGGGTGGTTGGTGGGTGCTCTGGTGTGGTTTGCTCCTTCTTTCCTATCAAATACGTATCGTCCTGATCTCTCCTTCTTTTTTATGTTTGTTACTCTCTCGTAACACATCTAATCTTCGGCACTTATATGACCTTATAGTGTTGCAAGTGCCGTTAAACTTTTACTAAAACGGAAAACGGAGAATCTTGTTGTATTAACATTTGAAGAATTGTAAATTCAAACTTATTATTATTTTTTCTGTCTCCAGAAATTGATGATGAGTTAGCGCCCAAGCCGGATGGAGAAACCAACGGTGGCCCGCTAAGCCCGGCCAAAGATCCGGTGGAGGAGAACGGCACAGAGAATAACAGCCCGACCAATGGCAGCACCAACAACAACAACAACCACCAGGCTGGTGTAGGCGCAGGCGGCCTGGGCATGGAGGAGATCCCGGAGAAGCTGCGGCACCAGCTGAAGCACCGCGAGCTCTTCCTGTCTCGCCAGGTGGAGACGCTTCCAGCCACACACATCCGCGGCAAATGCTGCGTCACACTGCTCAACGAAACAGAGTCCCTCTTGTCTTACCTCAACAAGGACGTGAGTCAGCCTCTAGACAGCGTACTGTAGGCTGTAGGCTAGCTGTTCAACTCTACTTAGCCCACGATGTTGAAATTTTAAAAAAAAA